TCCAGTTTTTTACATTTTAAATGCTCTATTTTTTTTTTGCAGAGCAACTTTCAACATTTTCTGTCTAATTGTTTTTTTTTTTCCTTTTACATTACAGATTTAATTTTGCACACGTTGCATATTTTCAAAAGTAAATTTATTGTTTTATAGTTGGACAAACTGATCTTTAACACTAAAGTTAAATTAAAATATGGAAACTTTCTTTTACTTGTAATTTTATGATAAAAAACAACTAATAACAAACAGCTTTTATTTCTGCAGTAGCCTGATGGTTTGTATGAGATTATTGTTATTTATACTGAATTCACCATTTTTACACATTTAAATTTCCTTCATTAAACATTTTAAAATACTTAAATTATGTCTGTAGAGAATAATGAACTTTATGATCAGTTAATATCATTATTAATATTGTAACGTTTAACCTTAAATAAAATCACACATCAGCACAGATCCTCTTTTTATGTAACGCTCTTAGATCTTAGTTTTTTGCTCTTTAATAAAGTTTCACCACAAAGTCGCTCCAAACGTCTCAGCAGCTGAATAAACAACCAATTAGCCGCCGTCATGTGACCCGAGTGTTGGAGGTGTAATAGATTACATTACTGCATTCCTCAGCAGAGCGACCTGATCAAACCCATCCTTTTGATTTAGTTTCTCCACAGCGCTGCAGAAGCCCTTCATTTGATTAAATGTCGATTAAATGTGCGATGAATGCATCCTTCATAGACGTTTAACTGTTTTATGACCAGCAGAGCGACGGCGAGCGATTACTGTTCAACCCGACGGCGACGTTCTGATGAATCTTTTTAACTCAAACATCAGAAAACTCTTAAAAACTCACGTCGCTGTTTCCTCGAGTCCAACAGTTGAACTCTTCATCATATAAATCACAGAAAAAACGGCAGATTTGAGGAGACGTATGATCGATGTTTACTCGACAAACGACTGAAACGACTGATAAAATGATCGACTAAATGATTAATCGGTTATTTCTCTCTCATAATTAATAAAACGAGACGCAAAAACAGAACGCTGTCGAGTTCTTGTTGTTTATGCAGCACGTTTAAAGTAACTGTGTTTTGTTGAATATTAAGAGTAGAATCAGTGATTCACTCCACAGGTTTGAATATTAAGGTTTTATCAAAGTGAACAAAAACAAATTCAACCTTATTTCTGTGTCTGAGGCTCAGATTTTGGTCAGAATGTTGATTAAAACTCACATTTTTCATAAGAAGCAGAACATCCAGCCCAGATTTCACTGCTTCGGTGCATCATTTTACATTTTCTGGTCATATTTCTCAGTTTTTTCTCCTTTAATCCACACGTATATGAATCCAGACTGTCTGCAGAGTCTTTAGACAGGTTTCACCTCCTCCGACACCTGCAGCCTTCAGGACTCGTTCAGGACTCGTTCCGGACTCGTTCCGGACTCGTTCAGGACTCGTTCAGGACTCGTTCAGGACTCGTGCTCATTTGCATGTTCGTACGACTCGGCATCGCGGCAGCATTTTTGAGACGTGAATGTGAAGCTGGCGGCGGTTCAAGCATTTGAAGTGGGAGGCAGGTCGGTGAGCACACCTTGACCAGGTGAAGGAATCTGTGCTGGTTTGACGTGTCAGCGCTCCGTCATGTTGTTTTCACCTGAAGTGTCAGAAGTTGAAGCCAAGCAGCAGAACTTCCTCTGATGTGCAGAACATGAAGAGAAAACCAACATGAGTTTGACATAAAGCGGCTTTGGTCAGTGAATGAATGTTTATAAATCAGGAAGTGTTTCTGATTCTCAGGCAGTTCCACATTCAGACCACAAGATGGCAGCAAAGTTTAGATTTAATCTGAGAGACGGTGAAGACGGTATCCACGGCAACAACAGGTTCATGAAGACAGA